ACAATTTACAGTGTGGTTGGAAACTTTTTTTTTTGGAAACGGCCGAAAATTCATGCGCGCGTGGATGTCATCCATATAATCAAATCAACATGGCCTTATTGGTGTGGCCTAAGCTTACACATAGGTTTACTTAAAACATCAGACACGGGAACCTACAAATATGTGCCATGCACTACAGACTGTATTTACAAACCATGCCATGTGGGACATGATTCATGTTGTATGTCAGCTGTTTGACCCAGTTTGAAACTTTTGGTCAGGACCGTTTGGACCTCCTTTCAAAACAGAAAAGAGGGCCTGCAAGGGGGGGTCCCGACAACGCTCTACACTGAATTCGGAAACCTCTCTATTACGCTTTATGATGAATTCCAAGTGGCTACAACGCATTACGTAGAATTAAAACGGCGAATACGCTCTACGCAAAATAATTAGAGCGGTCCATCTACGCTCTACGTAGAATTAAAACGGCCGATTACGCTCTACAGAAAAGGGCTTGCGGGCCCCCAGAAAAGAGGGTAGAATGTTGCAATATTTATTACCTGTAAATCTGTTACAGAGTCGTTACAACTTACAGGCCCTACCTTGTAACCAAAGGTTATGAGTTTGTGTCTCCTTCAATCTAGTCAACACTTCGCAGCAATGGCTTTTCATTATCACACAGGATAACCTTGCCCATTGGGCCTAAGAAAAAAAAAGTTGTGTTCCTGTTTTAGTCCTGAAAAAATTAGGGTCGGTAGGTAGGGATTATCTTTATTTTTCTTTCTTTTTTTTTTTAGAATTCAGTGATATCTATTTGTTGTTGTTGATATCTATATAGCCCGGGTTCAACTTATACAATACAGTTTAATAAAGTAAAACTTGCATGAGGACACTTTTATTATGTTTACTAAAGGAAAACTATTGTTTTTGCTCAGTTTCTTCTTCTCCAAACAGTGACCTCTGATCTGGCCAATGGCCTGATTTGTTGACGTCTGTCACCATGGTAACTCGTGCTGGGTTATATAATGTTGCAATTTCATAGTAGGAGGGATTTAGACTCCTGTCACATATACAATGTGTTTGAGTAAGAATTAACAGAGCAGACCATATCCGAAGGTAAACATTATGCATTTGCTTTGTAAATGTTACTGTTCTACATCACCCCCATGAAACTCCTTCCTCTTCGCCCCCGCCGTTCTGCTTCGCCCCCGCCCCGTTCTGCTTCGCCCCCGCAAAAAATCTGCTTCGCCCCCGTCGTTCCTCTACGCCCCCGGCGCAATTCTGCTTTGCCCCCGTCCTTCTGCTTAGCCCCCAATGGCGGCACAGCTCACAGTCGACACGAAAATCGTCTGCAAAATAACAATAAAGGCTGTGCCGCCAAATTTAAAGTAGCCCATGCTCCGACAAACATTCTGGACCACCTTTCTGCCAAGTGGCGTTGCACAAATCCTTCCCATTCAAAAGTTTACCCCTACCTCACGGCCCGTCAGTGGTTCTTACGGTTATAAGTACTGGCGTTTATAAGTACAGCCGTGAGTGAAATTTCCCGCCAGTACTTATAAACGTAAGAACCACTGACGGGCCGTGAGGTAGGGGTAAACTTTTGAATGGGAAGGATTTGTGCAACGCCACTTGGCAGAAAGGTGGTCCAGAATGTTTGCCGGAGCATGGGCTACTTTAAATTTGGCAGCACAGCCTTTATTGTTATTTTGCAGACGATTTTCGTGTCGACTGTGAGCTGTGCCGCCATTGGGGGCTAAGCAGAAGGACGGGGGCAAAGCAGAATTGCGCCGGGGGCGTAGAGGAACGACGGGGGCGAAGCAGATTTTTTGCGGGGGCGAAGCAGAACGGGGCGGGGGCGAAGCAGAACGGCGGGGGCGAAGAGGAAGGAGTTTCATGGGGGTGTACATGTAGTTCTCAATGTCAATGTTAGAAAACCAATTGTACAATTTTTTATCACTTAGGTGTCAGATCATGGAGCTAGAAAAGGTTAATTTAAGGTTAATTTTAAAAAGTTATTTATTTATGTCCCTTGCAGGGGTCCACCCAAAAAACAGTCTAGGGTCGGCAGGTTTTTCTAGGGTCTGAAACAGGAAACACAACATTTTTTTCCTAGGCCTCGGTAATGTGCTCTTCCCATGGAGTTTGGGTTAGTCTGTCTGGCCTGAGAATCAAAACCAGAGCAGGAACCAGAAGTTAATGTGTTTTATCTGGAACTGTGCTGATCTAGCCCATTGGCACTTTTACTGAGCCACATAAAAGCTAAATGATCACAGCGGAAATCTGCTCCGAACGTCTGGGGTTGATTAAGGCCAAGGAGATAACGTCCTCTCAGTTACATGTACCCTCCTGTCACAGTGTAGGGATGTTAATGATATAGTTGTCATACCAGGATGAGCTTAACAAGTTGTTAATGTGTTAATTTTTGTTATGGGACTTACATGTAAATACAACACATTACATGTATATACATGATTGTATATAAATATATATATTAGGCCACAGCAAGTAATTTTTATGGATGACATCAGTGCGCGCATTAATTTTTGCCTGATTTTGGAAAAAAAATTTTGTTGCCCTCTGACAGTGGTCAACATGCCAAAAATGGGTAAAGATGATTCTGTTTCCATGCTGGAATGTGGATGGCAGATAGGAGACAAGAAAAGGCTTTGATTTAATGTTTTGTTTTTACTTTGATGCAGTGATATGTGATGCTGGCTGTGTATATGTGATGTTCCCACTGATCAAAAGTATTTGTACAATCATGATTGAGTCAAAATTTTAAAATGTATAGGAACCTTGTATTTTTCGGCCCGCCTTTTTTGCCTGCTCGCATTAGATTTGGAGTCTGCGGAGGATATCATCCATAAAATTTACTTGTTGTGGCCTTAAGGAAACCTAGGAGAAAAGAAAACCTCTAGCATTGATGTGGAGAAAATTCTAGCATGCATCTTACTTAGTTGTCACAATTATTACCAGTAATAATCAACAACAAATGTCCTCATCTAGTCTTAACTTTTAGGTTATCCTGTTGAAAAATCTACAAGCAAACAGGCAAACACACAGGCAAACATACAAACAAAAATAATGCTTGTCCAAGATAGAACAGCCAGAGAAAATGTGATAAAGAAGTATGTAAAGGAAAATGTACTTCAACAGTTGAAAATCATTAGCTTTAGGCCAGTTGTTTTGAGCATGTTTGTTGTGAGTGCCATTGCCATAAAAGCAATTAAACTGATTCCTCTGATCTGGTGTTCAAAAACTTCTTCCATAAGTTTACTAAACTGCTGTAACTTACTTCTGCGGGGGCCCACATGCCCTTTTTAATTCTACGTAGAGCGTAGACGGACTGCTTTTAAATTCCATGTATAGCGTAATTGGCCCATTTTTCGTAGAGCGTAATTCGACGCTTTATTTTACATAATTTGTTGTGGCCTCTTAGAATTTATCGTAAAGCGTAATGGGCCCGGGGGAGGCTTCTTGAATTCAGCGTAATACATTAGCCGGCTCTCAAAATTTAGTGTAGAGCGTTGTCGTGACCCCCACCCCCCACCCCCACATGCAGGCCCTCTTCTGCCAGTAATTAAAAGGTCACTAGAATAGTTTGAGTTGGGATTTTGGACTTCACTTGAAACTTCAAAAGAATTCTTACTCTTGTCTCAAGTGTCACATCCCTGAGTAGTGATTTTGAAAGGAGCAGAAGTCAGTAGTAACTTCAGAAGAATTCTGCTAGTTAGGCCATGTTGATTTGATTATATGTATGACATCTGCACGCGCATAAATTTTTGTCCGTTTCCAAAAAAAAAACTTGGGTTTTGACCAAACTGTAAATCGTACAAAGTAGCCGCAAAATGAGCAAATACGAATATGCTGTAATGTGTAAATTAGAAAAAAATATTGGAAAACGATACTTATGTCGCAGAATGCCAAAATTCCAAAGGTGGACACAAGAAGAAAATGTGAAGGAATGAAAATGAAGAGTCTATTATTCACCATGCCAATAAAATATTACTGTGTGTTTTGCCATTTGTTGAACCTTCATTGCCACCTAGATTTCATAATGAAGGCAACTTTTTCTTTTGCCAAACTTTTTTTTTATTCGCACTCTCGCATCAGTTTTGGGGTTCCCAGAGGATGTCATCCATATTATCAAATCAACATGGCCTTACTTATCTTAATTCTGTCTGATGACCACCTGTCTGAGCAGGGACACTTGTCTAACAAACCCCAGACGGAGCATCAGTTCACAGACTGGGAATCACTGATTAAACCCTGGAGAACTTGTTGTACACATTCCTGATGCTAGTCACTAGTAGCCTGGGTACCATCCGGATTTTCGCTCCGCAACGCTCGAAAACATCAATAGCCTGGGTAGTGGGTACCATCCGGATTTTTGCTTCGCAACGCTTGAAGATTTTCTTTCACACTGATGCTGGGGCTTGATGGTAGCTCGCCATTTGCCTCTGTCCCGTGGTTCTTGTGCACAGATTGTCAATACCCATTTTTTCTGCAAATTGTATTTTGAGGCCCGGCTTGCAAAGTTTAGGGCATGAATCCTAATTACTGTATTCCTTGTAACCTTCTCTCGTCATAAGACTATTCTCAGTCATTCTTAGTCATCCTTTACATGTAGTTCTCATGCCTGCAGGTATTTCAGCTGTATTTTGTGACCTTAGGCCACACCAATTTAATTGGTTGGTTCTCGGATTTTTTCAGGAAAAATATGAAGTGACAGGGCAAAAACAAAAAAAAACTGGTCTAGGCATCCTATCATAGCCGCAAATGCTACGATAGGAGCCATGAAGTCAACACAAAAAGCTGAGTTAATATTTAAACAATGAATTTTGAACTTTGCAAATCAGAAAAAAATGAAGGGGCGAATCTGAGAGCCAACAAATTAAATCGATGTGGCCTTATCAACAAGTAAAGTTATGGTTGTAAATACATGTACTTTTACGAACATAAACTGAAGATTTGTGAAGATGTAAACTGTATACTCAAAGTGTTTCCATTTTTTTCAGGAGGATCCAAAAAAGAAGGACCCTTGGGAACAGTACATGGCTGAAGTACAGAAGTACAAGGCTCATCAGTGCTGTGATGATGACAAAACACGACCACTGGTCAAGTAGCAACAACCCTGTGCATCAACTAACCCTGTGCATCAAATACCTGTAGATAGAGTGTACATACAGAATACAACACGGCGTATTCCGTATCACCAGAGGTATTGGCCCTACTGCGATCCGGCTTGTGGGAGGGCCGGGACCGAGGGTGATGCGGAATACACCGTGTTGTATTTTATTTATGTCATACCCACCCAAGAAAAACCTGCCTTTCAATACGAAATGATCCAAAATTTGGTGTCTCTAAACCAGAAAAAAATGCAACAACATCAATTCTAACATCTGAAACCTGTATTTGATTTTTCGAAAGCGGCACACGCGGTTAGGGCGAAATGTATTTGGATCTTTTCTGTGGAAGCCGGGTTTGTTCCGTAAAGTACAGCCCGGTCCAGAACACCGTTATCGAACTTCGAACATTATCCTGGTCCGGGTATGATATAAATGTACCTACATATATATGGAGGATGGACAGAAAATCTTCCACAGTCCAGGTCCCCTCACTTTGGAACACTTCATAGTGTTGATGACTCTTGAAATAGATATTCTATTGTCAATGAATACATGTATGTCGTCTGTGTGACATATAGAACTGTTGAAGTGTTCCCCATGAAGAATCTTGAACCACAAAGTTGCTCTGTTGATTCTTTCATCTCTGTAACATTTTATATATAATTGTGGAGGGGTTCTATGAAGAAAGCCATTTTGTATCAACAGTTACTGGATGTTCAGGTTATGGATTCATGGGGTCATATACACATTTCATTTATATTTTACTATTCCTTTAAAAAGAAATATGGTATGAAATGGGCTGCTTGGGGCAACATATTATTTGCCTATTTCATGTTCTTGTAATGTTACCCCACCCATTTTAAATGATGTACACAGCTTTTCTGTTTTGTTTGAACATTTTCACTGCCTCTCATTCTTTCATGAAAAAAGATCTGTGACTCCCCTACTTTTTTCAATGGTAATGCCAATGGCTCTGTTGATCTGTATATAAAGTATTATTATGTAAGTTGATAATTATGTAAGATGAAGACAACTGATTTTCGCCAATGCCTGTTAGCTCGTGTACATGTGTATATTACACTTTTAAGTTTTATGCTGTGGTCTGTTTAGCTCTGAATGTGCTCAACACAGTATTCAACATGAAACAGTTATTTAAAACCTTTCTCCATCTGTACTTAAAGCTGTACATAGCGTTTTGCATTGTAAATTCATTCCGTTCTGTGATTGTGGTGTAGAGGTAGAAAACAGATAACATGTCCTGTATAGTACTCTCCAAGCAGAGGTTTGGGTTTTGGGGGTATTTTTAGTGTGTTTTTAGGCTTTTTTGGGGGGGTTTCTCTTTTGCACTGAATTTTTTTCCCACCAAACCCAACCTCTGCCGGCACTCAACCCGGGGAGGGGCAAACCTATTAAAAGCTATTCAAAACAGGCGATACTGCCCCTCCCCGGGAACCATCAAACTGTCATTAGGGATATCCATTTTATTGTGGTGGATTATCACACTTCTAGCCAGTCAGAAAGGCATTCATTGGGCCACACGCCTCCTGCTGACTGTGCCTATTCATGCGTCTGGTTCACACCTCCTTGCAGAACGACTGAAATGTGTTGAAGTGATTAGGTTTATAGCCCATTGAAGCTTTTGACTGCCTGCAGAGGTTGGGTTTGGTGGGAAAAAAAATTCAGTGCAAAAGAGAAACCCCGAAAAAAAGCCTAAAAACACACTAAAAATACCCCCAAAACCCAAACCTCTGCTTGGAGAGTACTGTATAGAACCCATTTCAAACGTGTGCTCATTTCTTGTGCATCATTTCAAACATAGATGTGGAAAAATGCATGTTATAAAGGCTGTAGAAAACTGTGGTCATAGCATTCCATGGATAATTCTACTCCTTGGGATATTCTGGCAACCAGTTGACCGTAGCTGCTTGAAATATGTCTGTGAAAATGCTGTACATGTACTACCTTTGTCCACAAATACTAGTACATAACTGCATATTATAGCAGCACATCAGTAGAACGTACTGTGCCTGTGCAAAACCCCCATTTTTTACGGTTTTCATTAGATTTTTGGTCAACGTTGCATCAGAATTTTGCCTGTTGCAGACAATATTTTTTCCGACATAACATTTGGAACCTACAGGCGGGATGTTAACCATATATGCACGAATACGACCTTATATGAGACGTTCTGCCGAAGTGCTATGCATTAAACATTACGGGTTTCGCGCAGGTGCAGTACGTTCTGCCGACGTGCTCATATTAGTCATTCTCATCTGAGAGAAAAAACCCCGCAAAAGACCGGTGCCATTCTTAGTTTTTATTGAATCAGATTTTCCTTTCTAGAAAATGTTGTATTGAAGGAAGGTAAAAAAAAAAGTACCTTTATTATGTTATGGTAAAGTTTGTCTGTGCCAAAAATATCTTCATGATTTCTTGTCAAAGTACCGATTCGGGGTATATTATTTATTATTATCAATTTGTGTTGATATAGACTTTCCAGTCGGTGAAGATGTTAAAAAGTCCAGGCAAACTGTTCGCTATTTCTTTGTAAAACGCAGGCAGTCTAGACAGAAAACTGGTGGACTAAACTGAAGGTTGAACTTTTTTTAAATTAGGCCACACCAATTTAATTTCTTGGTTAACGGATTTTTCTAGAAAAATAATGTAGTGGGTGGGCAAAAAAAAATAATAAAAAATCAGGCTTAGGCATCCTATTATGGCCCAAAATGGTACAATAGGAGCCATGAAGTCAACACAAAAGGCTGGTTCAAAATTTAAACAATGAATTTTGAACTTTTAATGATACCACTGCATTGAAAGATTGAATAACTGTAACAACTAGGAAGAAAAGGACTGTTTTCAACTGTTCAGGACAAAATATGAGCATTTTGCAGTTCTTTTTTTTTTATTTTTTTTTTGCAAATCAGAAAAAAATGAAGTGGGCGAATCCGTTAACCAAGAAATTAAATTGGTGTGGTCTTAGATGAATGAATGCTAGACTGAAATCAGTGAGCTAATGTTAGTTTTCATGGTTCATTCTTTCAATGTTAAAATGTGTGGTTCATGTACTTGTGCGTTTCAGCAATGTAAAACATTGGAAGTTGCTACTTTCCTTATTTCAGTTTTGCAGCAACATGTATAAAGACCAGTGTACAGTTTGAGGCTCACATCGTATTCAACTATTGGACATTTACATGAAATCACAGACAAACTGAAGGCAATAACTACCTGTTTAATTGTAGTCATAATATTTCAGTATGTTTGATGGAAGCAATACTATATAGTTACACTGATTACACTGCTACAGGTATTAAAAAAATGACAACATGGCAGGTTTTGTGACGGACTGGTTATTGCGTGTTTACTTCAAACATTTGCAGAACTTAAGATCTTTATAACTGACAACTATCCAGTTAAACTGTTTTCTTGTGTGTGGTTTATACATAGAAAATTTGCATGACGTATACGCAGCAATTTCTGTATGCCACAAGGAACAGTTTACTGTAGTAAGATGTGAATGATGATGGTGCAATAGACTGGAATGTCACTGGAATTATTTGTGAGAATGTAAACATGTCATACAGGGCTCGAAATTTGCTTTTTGGAAAAGGTGACATTTTTTTGGTGCAACATATGAAATAATATAATAATTATACAACAAAGGCTTCATTTTTTCTGACATTTGGATGACTCTATACTAGTATGCATACATATGTTAACATACGAAAATATTTGGGTGCACTGGTGCATCCATAGAAAAAAATTGGGTGCACAGCTCCAATTTTGGGTGCACCCAGTATTTCAAGCCCTTTAAGAGATTCTATCACTCAGACAGGATATATACAATATAAGGCCACACCAATTTAATTTGTTGGTTCTCGGATTCGCCTCTTCGTTTTTTTCTGATTTGCAAAAAAAAAAATTTGATTCTGGTCCTGAATCAACTGAAAAATGCTCATGTTTTGCCCCCAACAGTTGAGGAAAGTCCTTTTCTTCCTAGTTGTTACGGTTTTCCCATCTATCATTGCAGTGGTTTGATTAAAAGTTCAAAATTCAATGTTTAAATTTTAACCCAGCCTTTTGTGTTGACTTCATGGCTCATTCCATAGCATTTAAGCCTATAATAGGATGCCTAGACCTGTTTTTATTTTTATTTTTTTTCGCCCTGTCGCTTCATATTTTTTCTCAAAATATCCGAGAACCAACAAATTAAATTGGTGTGGCCTAAACTGTGGGCAAGAAAGTTTTTTTCAGGATATTTGGGCAGCCTGCACCCTGGCATTCAGATCCTCTATGGTCTCCTTCAGGCGGTCAGGTGCAGTGAAGAAGTCTACAAACAGGTGGCGCTCCTTCACAAGATTGGGGTCATTCTGCAGGTCCTGAGTGGAGAAACAGCAAACCATTACAACTTGCAGTGTGGATCCTGAGTTAGATTTAAAACACTAGTTTTCAATTAAATACAACGTGTATCTTGTGCGTCCAGGTCTGAACACTTCTGTATGAGACAAATCAAGCATTTTCAAATTTCAGGTTACTTACTACTACTACTAGTAATACTAGTATTTTGTGTGTCGCTGTCATGAAAATTGTGTAATTTGCATGCTGTGATAAAATGTGAATAACAATTGATAAAACATGAACATTGATGGTCTGAGTGCAAAAACTCAGTCTCTACCTGACTAAATACGCTGGCTATATATAGGAGAATATTTGCCAGGGGAGTTTGGCCGCCTTGTAGGTTTGACTGGCCACGCAGGAAGGGAAAGAAACTATCTCCCCGCGGCCGGATTACCTTGGCCAATTTTACTCTCTTTTTTGCTGAATTCTACATGTACGATCTGTATTCCCGTAGAAAGGCCTGGTGAAGGCTAGCAAAAACTTTAAACATCCCTCGGACTCACCCTTTTCTTCTTGTTCATGTCCTTCAAGGTCTCCATCAGGCTGGCTTCAAGGTCTTTCAAGGTCAAATCCAACTTCAACATGGAGTCCAAAATAGCCTGGTGATGACATACATGTAGGTAGAAACATCATTGATTAACAGTCTGTCATGGTTAGGCCACACCAATTTAATTTGTTGGTTCTTGGATTTTTTCAGAAAAAATATGAAGCGAAAAAAATAAAAACAGGTCCTATCATAACCCCAAATGCTACGATAGGAGCCATGAAGTCCATACAAAATCTGGGTCAATATCTATGAACAATGCATTTGAACTTTTAATCAAACCACTGCATTGATCGAAGGAAAAACTGTAACAACTAAGAAGAAAATGACTTTCCTTAACTGTTGGGGACAAAATATGGCCATTTTTGATTAGAAAAAAAAACTAAGAGGCGAATCCGAGAACCAACAAATTAAATTGGTGTGGCCTCAGCCTGAGTTACACAGCCTCTCACTGTTCGGGCTGATTGGGCTTTCTCCTGACCAGTGGAAGGGCTGCTAGAAGCGTAATTTAGTCAGGCTAGGATCATGGTCATACCCTACCTATGTACATGTATGTGTGTCTATATGCTTACAGTACCTTCTATATGTATTCAACATATGTGTAAAAAAGATGACATGGTAGATGAATAGACCAGGATAACAAGATGCTACATCATGAAAGTTCATCTGTGTTGGTAGTTCCATGTCTAAAGTTAAAACTTTTGATCCAACACAAAATGTTCTCTCACCTAGAGCTTTCGACCAGTCACTCTGGTCTTCCTCAGTAGACTGACCCAATGAAGCTTGTCACGTGGCTTCTTTGAAGTGTGACGTCAACACTGGGTCAAAGGTATCTGGTAGATGATGTCGGCCCCCGTCGCAGATACCTTTGACCCAGTGTTGACGTCACACTTCAAAGAACCCACGTGACAAGCTTCACTGGGTCAGTCTACTGAGGAAGACCAGAGTGACTGGTGGAAAGCTCTAAGGTTTAAGAGATTTCTTTATGTTGGACCAAAAGTTTTAACTTTAAACAAGATGCCACATGTTTAGGAACTGTTGAAGCCTGCTGACGTCTCACCTTTGGCCCGAGGGTGGTAGGTCCGCTGCCGGGGGTGGCCCTGTCATACACGGCAGTCCCCAGGTCCTGTACACTGGTCTCTCTGTAGTATCACAACACAGGTAGACTAGTATACACAAATGACATGCTCTGCAGGCTTTTAGCTAGGATTTTTTTGTTGGGTGTCCATTTTTTTTATAGTATGCTATGCGCAGCAAAGATGTGTGGTGCACATTAGCTTTTTAGGGGGTCTTTTTTTAATTTCATAATGCTCTGAAACACTACTTTTTGCATTTTGAGATGCAAATTTTGAGGATTTTTTGTTTTTTCCTTTAGTAAACCATCATTTTTGTATTCATAGTAATTCTGAAGGGAGGCATGTGTGCATGGCAGGGGTTGGGAGTGAAAAAAATAGGGCGTCTTTAGGGTGTCCTGCCAAAAAGTAGGGCATCCAATTTCTTATTATTTTCAGTACAGGGCGTCCAAAAGACACCCTGGACACCCCCTAGCTAAAAGCCTGATGCTCTATTATCTATATCTAAGGCCACACCAATTTAATTTCTTGGTTAACGGATTTTTCTCGAAAAATAATGGAGCGGGCTGGCGAAAAAATAAAAAAATAAAAACAGGCCTACGCATCCTATTATGGCCCAAAATGGTACGATAGGAGCCATGAAGTCAACACACCAGGCTGGTTCAAAACAATGAATTTTGAACTTTTAATGGTACCATTGCATTGAAAGATGAAATAACTGTAACAACTAGGAAGAAAAGGACTGTTTTCAACTGTACAGGGCAAAATATGAGCATTTTGCAGTTGATTCTGAATTTTTATTTTTATTTGCAAATCAGAAAAAAATGAAGCGGGCAAATCCGTTAACCAAGAAATCAAATTGTTGACGTGGCCTAACAGCAAAGAAAACATTTTACATCCCTCTGAGTCTAAACTATCATTTAAAAATCTGACTGAAATTTTGTGCAACAAAACTTTCTAGTCTGAGTGAAGAAAACTGTCTCTCTTTTTAGGAATAATGAAACAAAATTTCTAGATCAGATAAACTCTGGTCTATACTTACATTTATGTCCTACCTGGGCCGCGATTACGTTCGATACGGGTGTTCCGGCCCGTGTGATAACTAGCGGTACGGCCCGGGGCTTCCAAATGTTCCATAGAACGATTCGAACGCGTTTCGCCCTAACCGCGTGCAACGCTTTCGAAAATTCGAATGCAAAATTCGGACGTTGGAATTGATGTTGTTGCACTTTTTGGGTTTAGGGACACCAACTTTCTGCTCATTTTGCATTGAAAGGCGTGTTTTCTTGGGTGGGTATAACATAAATAAAATACAACACGGTGTATTCCGCATCACTCTCGGTCCCAGCCCTCCCGCGGATCGGATCTCCCTCCGGCCTTCGGCCGTCGGGCGATCCGACGCGCGGTCGGGCTGGTACCTCGGGTGATACGGAATACCCCGTGTTGTATTCTATATGTATATAGAAGCCCATTATACTCTATCACTATCGAAACCATCCCAGGACACGAGTTAAATAGTGTTGAATGACCGAGTGGCTAGTCTAGCGAGTGGCTAGTCTAGCGAGTGGCTAGCCTAGCGAGTGGCTAGCCTAACGAGTGGCTAGCCTAGCGAGTGGCTAGCCTAGCGAGTGGCTAGCCTAGTGAGTGGCTAGCCTAGCGAGTGGCAAGTCTAGCGAGTGGCTTTGTCTAGCGAGTGGCTTTGTCTAGCGAGTGGCTAGTCTAGATCTAGTGAGTGGTCTAGCAAGTGGCTGGTCTAGGGCAGAAACTATGGAGGATGGCACTCAGGCTAGGTGTAAAATGTGTGCCTGACTATGATTGGGGAGCTAAAAGGCAGTAGAAGGAGAGGGATGGGCTCCAAATTCCAAAACTGTGCCTAACAGATGCTAGTAGATCAAAGACCGGATCCTGCTCCTATGGCCTGAAAAAGGCTACAGGACTACCTTAATCTTCACCTTTTTCACAAGTCACATTAGGCCACACCAAGTTAATTTGTTGGTTCTCCAATTTTTTCAGAAAAATTTAAAATATGAAGCGAAAAAAAACACAAAAAAAAACCAATAGGAATCCTATTATACATGTAGCCCCAAATGCTACCATAGGAGCCATGAAGTCAACACAAAGGCTGGGTTTAACTTAATATTCAAACAATGAATTTTGAACAAAGTTTTGAACTTAATCAAACCACTGCATTGATAGATGGAAAAATTGTAAGGCCATGTTGATTTGATTATATGGATGACATCCTCTGGGGACACCAAAACTGATGCGAGCGTGCGAATAAAAAAAAAGTTTTGCAAAAAAAAAAGTTGCTTTCATCATGAAATCTACGTGGTCATGAAGGTTGAACAAATGACACAGAGTATGGTATGGCGAATAATCTACACTCCAAATCCATTTCTTCACATTTTCGTCTTTTCATTTAATTTTGGCATTCTACGACATTGGTATCATTTTCAAATAATTTTTTTGTACCTTACGGTATATATTTGCTCATTTTGCAACTGTTGATTGTATGATTTACAGTATGATTGAAAACTTTCTTTTTTTTTTTGGAATCGGCCGAAAATTCATGCGCGCGTGGATGTCATCCATATAATCAAATCAACATGGCCTAACTAGAAAGAAAAGGACTTTCCTCAACTGTTGGGGGCAGAATATGAGCATTTTTTAGTTGATTCAGAAACAGAATCTTTTTATTTTTTGCAAATCAGAAAAAAATGATGAGGCAAATCCGAGAACCAACAAATTAAATTGGTGCGGCCTTACTTACAGGTGTTTGAGCTTGTCCTCCTTGCCTGTACTGGAGTCAGCCAGGCTAGCCTGCAGAGTCTGTAGGTCCAGGTTCAGACTACAGGCACCTTCCTCCAGACTGGAGTAGGTACGAAACAACGGCTGTTTCCTATCATGGTCCTCACTGGGAGATCCAACTACACACGGAGAAATACATACAATTTGGTACTCATTATTCATTACATTACAGTTGTAAATGCTCATTATGAGGCTGAAAGAACATGATTTTTGAGACAGTTACCACGATATGTCAACCAAAGTTTTTCAATGTCTCGGGTTATGGGACTACAGCACACTGTTACGTCAACTTTATGTATTTAAATGTTAATTGTATTTTGTTGTGTGGCACTGTTAAGATAAGTTTTAAACATAACATCTTCCATACATTTCTCAATTTGAGAGTCTGTCAGATGTTTAAGATTCTGATTGACTAGCAGATTACACAAGCTTCAATGTTTCCCTCATCACCTATGATGTTGTGGAGTCTGATGGTGAAGTTGTCCCGTGAGTCGATAGTTGCCCTGGCTGTGCGTGAAGTCTTGTACACCGGATCTTGTAAGATAGCCTGTGGGGTGGATTCAACCATTATTATCACACTGGATGGTGCATTGAAGATATTTTTTATGCATTTTTGGCGACGTCTCAGGGAGGAGCCTAATGGTACAGTATTGTGTGCAGTTTGCAAGAATTCTAGGAATTGTACAGGAATTTTGTCCACAGGAATGGAATGTCCACAGGCACGTCTCTGACCCACATCTATGCCCACATTCCTGGAAACCCTTGGGAAGACCGCTCTTTATTTGTTTGACTTTATTTGTTTTACCAGTAATTACAACTCAGGCTATTTTGGCCTGCTTTTCAGGTAATCCTGGATACACATAAAAAGTACACACAACAAATACACGGTACATAAACAATTAGTAAATGTAACATCCAGAACATCAACTAGATCAAGATCTAATGATCTGTTTAAATGTCCTGAGACTAAGGAATTGTTGTTGCTGTAGCAGAAGAAGTAAGGTCAGGGCTCGAAATTCATTTTTGGGAGTAGGTGCACTGGTGCACCCAACCTAAAAAAATTAGGTGCACAAATTTTTTTTCTGGTGCACCATATAAAACAAAACCTAATTATAGATCTTACTGCTCCTCTTCTGAGCTTTAATCTGAAATGGGCCCGGAGCTAACTTCGAAATCTTAAACAAGTACAAATTATGTACTACAACAAAGGTTTTATTATTTTTCTGACACTTAGATGCTGAATATCCTGCATACTATAATAATTTGATATGTACAGTACCTACAAAAATATTTGGGTGCACTGGTTGGGTGCACAGCTCCAATTTTGGGTGCACTAAGGTGCGAGCTGAAGTTGCACATGCACCCAGTATTTCGTGCCCTGGGTAAGGTCCATATAAGTACAGTAGACTGCTCCGGTATGCCGTGACTCTTGCTGGTGAACAGAAGAGTAGGTGAGAGTCGTAGTCCCTTAGAAATTTTAACTCTGACCGAGTGGTTCCTACACTTAGAGTCTCCCACTTGAACAAAGATGCCATGTACCCCGGCACATGTACACTTTCTTGCCTTAAATTTGATCCTTCATTGCGCTGTTCACCTCTATAACAAGGCAATTCACCAGTAGTGCTATAGCATCTAAATAAATCCTATGTGATAACCGCATATTGTGTATAAATTTTAATTGTGTAATTATCATTTTGAAATGTTTTAATGTTGTGCTTGCCATGTTTCATGTGTACAATGAAGAGTGTAACATAATCATTGTTTTCAATGCTCTATGTACTAATGAAATAAGGACGTAATTCTGGTATTTGCCCGCGAGAGCATTACCGAATAAAATTTGAATTAAAGACAGTAACCAGAGTCGTAATTTTTGTTGTACAGAGTTCATGTTCTTGGCTAAATTATGGTTTTACATAGAACTGTTCTCACCAGTCTGTCTTGCGTCATGGTGACAGCCTTGTCCAGGTCCTTGCGTAGCGCCATGAGCAGCCGCCGTGTCTCGCGGTGAGCGCGGCCCTCCACCTCCAGCGCCGTCAGGAGAAACTCATTCCTGGCTCGCTGCTTTAACAGCTGAGCAATCACCTATATGGAGGGTCTGTGTACTTCAGTAATATTCAGGTAATATTCAGTTAAAATACAGGTTAAAACCTGTAACATATAAATTTGTGAGTCTATACAAATGTATATATCACGCCTTAAATTTTGATAGTTTACATGTACTAGACATGGGACTACTTATTCAATAACTGCCATAACTGGTGTCTCTAAAGATGTCAAACCCCTTAGTGTATGTAGAAACATCAGATAGATTGGACGTTTTTTACCTTGGTACATTAAAGTATCAGTAGCAATTTAAAAGCTTTCAGGTCTGAGTTTGCAAATAAGTACAGTACACATTATTATCGTTATAACACAACACTCCTGAATATAACTTGTCACTGAAAAAGTACTGAACATCCATAACAAAACAAAACAAAACAAAACAAAACAAAACAAAACAAAACAAAACAAAACAAAACAAAACAAAACAAAACAAAACAAAACAAAACAAAACATTCCACACAAAAGAGTGACAACCGCACCTCCTCCTGTTTGGAGATGAAGTAGTCCTGTCGAGCGATCTTGAGGTTGTAGTCTCCCTGCAGGATCCGTGTGGCCTGCAGCTCAGCGTTAGCCTGGATCAGTCGCGGGACCTCCACCTCCGACAGGACAGCCGTTTGCCGCTGTACCGCAGTCAGCACGGCCTGGGTCTCCTGCAGCTGTTTACTGGGAAGGAGGAGGAGTCACAGCAAGGAAGTTAAGCCTAGGAAAAAAATGTTGTGTTTCCTGTTTCCCGACCAACCCTACATGTAGAAAAAGCTGTCGACCCTAGCCTTTTATTGGGTGAACCCCAGCAAGAGACTTTTTTGAGCTGATCAACCTCCATGATCTGACACCTGAGTGATGAACCATTGTACAATCAGTTTTCAGAGGGTTGTACTCTGAATTAGACGTTAGATGTGCACCAAATGCAAGTCTTTTTTTTTTTGAGTAAGATATTGTTACCTTCCTAACACCAACCGAAACCCTCCTAGGGCCTAGGAGCCCTCTAAGTTCTAACTGAGGGGGGAAATACGTATAAAGTGCCTTTCCCAATGGCACAATGTCTGGGTCCAACCCTGGGGATTGAACCTGGGTCTCCTTGCTTGACAGTCGGATGTTCTATCTACTACACCACACAGATGCCACACATATGTATATATACTATATTATATACTAATAATATACGTCTCCTACCTGAGTTTTGCAGTGTCCTCAGGATAAGGCTTGCTGTGTAACTGTTGTAACTTCCGCTCCATGGCTTGTCGCGCGGCGAGGGTTCTGCTCTCCTGGACCTTAGCCTGGATGTACTGTCTCTGGCTCAGTGGGAAACTGGGATACAATCATACACCAGTGTTAGAAATAAGTACCCATCATTGGTTAAAGAGTTAGACTTGTTCCAACACAAGAAAGAAAAACTCACCATAAATTTTCGGCTGATCCCGTCAACCTTCGTCAGATTTGTGATGCAGGCGCTGACTTTCCGGAAGTCGGAAACGTGATGACGTCAGGAGTGCATCAAAAGTGGCGGGAAGACGGTATCTCCCACCATCACGGTTCAGAGAGGGTTGGTGGGAGATACGTTTCCGACTTCCGGAAAGTCAGCGACTGCATCACAAATCTGACGAAGGTTGACGGGATCAGCCGAAAATTTATGGTGAGTTTTTCCTTCTTGTGTTGGAACAAGTCTAACTCTTTAACTATGGATTCTTAACCAACACAGATGAGCTTTCATTCGAGTACCCATCATTGTTTATGATTTTAGATTGTATGTGATGTATATATATATATGTATCCTAGCATGTTGAATATCAAAGAAAGACAGCGGCTTCTGGTATTCATCACATTACTGAAATCTGAAAATATCTGAAAATTAATGTCTCCTTCAGACTCTTTAAGTGAACATGATTAACATGAGTATTTATATGGGCTTTAATAGGGTATGAATTAAACAAACCTTTATTGTACATGGAGATTTAAGCTTCATTCTACAAAAATGTCAAGAAACTTCATCTGTGATATCTATGGCAGTCTAAAGACCTGTTTTGTCTAAGTGATTTAGACATCTTTTTTTAGTTTCTGTCTTTGTGATTGGTCCGTGTAGTTTGGGGATATGGCTGTAAAAGTTTTTTGTTAAAAGTAGTTGTGTATGTATATGTACTTGTACTTGTACTTGTCTCCATGATTTGGAATAAACAGAGGGAAAAAAAGTACCCATCTGAAGAGACATGTTCAATATTGCAGAAGAAAAATTATGCAAACTGCAATTTTACAGACTGAAAAAATCTAGCCAGGGGTTCACTGGTGTTTAAAAGAGCTTTCGTGTTTACTACTGACTCTATAATATCGAGTAATTTTGCATGTATTTTTCAAATTACATGTAAAATATTGGCCAACATGCAATTTTGTATATGCCATGGGTTTTAAGACCTGGAATTTTAAGTGTTTTTTTGCAGTAAGTATTTCTGAGTTCAAGAATAAAATTTTGACACTGCAATTTTGCAGAACACTGCAAAAAAGTACAACTAAAGCAAAATAAAATTCAACAAATTACACAATTTAGCTATAACATGTACATCTAAAAGGGCATTACTTGTGCAATGAATGTTTTCATATGTTTGAGAATAAAGACATCTCTGTTGGTACTGAAAGCATGTGTCACTTTTTTTTTGGGGGGGGGGGGGTCAACTAACCGGCTATCTCTCTACAGTGGTCAATTGACCACTATAGACAGGTTTGACTGTATTTCTACTACAGTAACTGCTTTGTACATATACATGTAAGTTATAATAATTAATGTATGGTACTGACATGTTCTGAAGCCTGGCGAGTTCGTGACAGTTCTTCCTGATGACCTGGTCAGTTTCTCCCATCACCAGTAGACTGGACGGATCCCTCACGTCCAGGAACTGGTACCGAGAACCTTCCGCATGCCCCGCCAAGTCTGCTATACCCTGTGTGTAACAACATATAACCTGTCAACCTGCTCAAGAATTGGGCAACCAGAGGACTAATGCTGTGTACCTAAACCCACGTTCAGGTCTAGGTCTGGATTCAAGTCCAGAGTTTAGGTTCAGGTCAGGAATTTTAAGTCCGGACCTAATTATAAACCCAGGGCATATACAAAATATGGAAGGGACTTCTCAGTGGGACTTTCCAATGAAAAATGGGGCATCTTTATCGCAAAAGTTTGTAGTGAGCACTGCACTACCTGGGTTTTAATAGAAGAAAGATACATTGTTTGAGGTGCATGTCTGGGCAAAACTGTATTGCAGTGCAAATTTTTTACTATTGCAAATTTCAGGTGATTTAGAACACAAAGGGGAATGTGACATGATTTTTTTAGTCCAGGAACTAATTCCAGACATTCAGTTTTTTTTGGACTTGAACCTAAACATTTTTTTTTACAAGTTTGGAACTAGTTCCAGCAAAGTGGTACACAGCACTACAGAGGACTGAGGTAAAGTGGTCTTGTTGGACAGGTGGCCTTCTTGGGCAGAATGCTCACACCTATGAGAAAAAACTTGACGACTGGGAAAAGGTGGCTGTTATAGCCAGGTGACCAGCTTGAAGAGGTGGCCACCTGGGCAAGTTTTACTGCATCTTTTTTTGCATTGCCTTATTGTTACATGTGATCTTTTTTATTTTTCTTGTTTGAAATCACACAAAAATTTGACTGTGAATCCAAAAAGCAAATTTAAACATGTGACTATCAATTTATTTATTTATTTATTGAAAATGCAACAAGACATTACACTGACTCTCAAGGCAGCAAAGCTGATGTTAGAGAGTCAACACATAAGGACAAAACATATAGGGCACATAATATCAACAGTGTGAAATTACAAAAAAAAAATGATCATAAGAACCTATCATTCCAATTAGCCGAGTAAATATATGTACACATCTAAAATAACACATTTGGAGGTCAGAGGTCGATAAAATAAGTCACAGTCAGACTACCTTGTATGAGAAAAAAAAATACTAAATAACAAGGTTAGAAAGGAACAGCGTGGAAGTGCCTAGAAACGGTTTGTTGAAGTGATGTAAGTGTGGAAGGAGTGTGAGAGGCTTTCGTTTAATGTGATGTCATTGCCCGGGGACCGTTGAGTAGAACGCTGGTGGAGAGG